GTTGGCGGTAAATCTGGTGGTTCCAACCATCATGGGTACTATGGTAACCATGCTTTTGGCCTCGGAATGTCTTATCCTGGAAGTCCCTTGGCAAATGCAGTCATTCCGAATTCCCCAGTTGGACCTGTTAGTCCCATGAGGCAGAATGACTCCATGCGTCTGCCTTCGGGGATGAGAAACTTATCTGGGGGAGTCATGGGACCCTGGCACTTGGATGGAGGCATGAATGAAAACTTTGGATCCTCTCTACTGGAAGAATTTAAGGGTAATAAGACCAAGTGTTTCGAGCTGTCAGAGATAGCTGGTCATGTGGTTGAGTTCAGGTAGCATCCAGCCTAGTCATTGGTGCCCTTCTTTTCGGCTCACTGCCTACTCTTCTGTTTTTGACCTCTTGCTTCATGTAATTTTGTTTTTCAGTGCGGACCAATATGGGAGTCGGTTTATACAACAAAAACTCGAAACAGCAACTACCGATGAGAAAAACATGGTGTATGGGGAAATTATGCCCCATGCTCTTGCTTTAATGACGGATGTGTTTGGTAATTATGTTATTCAAAAGGTACATATGCCTTTGTTATGATACTGCAATCGTTTTTCGTAACTCAGTGTTCTGGCGTGATTGTTTTCGCAACTCGATGTTCTTGTGGGATTTATTTTAATAACTTCCATGTGCAGTTTTTTGAGCATGGACTTGTGTCCCAGCGTAGAGAATTGGCCAACAAGCTTTTTGGACATGTGTTAAATCTCAGTCTTCAAATGTATGGCTGCCGCGTAATTCAGAAGGTACTATTAGATAATTTATGGTACAGTGTTTTTGAGCAATCATTTGCTACTACCATATTGTTCGATTCGATGCACCTTTAATACTCCCAGTTGTTTTTTTAAAGCCATTTCTCGTAGACACTATATGGTTGGACATCATACTTTGAGATCTAATGGGGCAATGGATTGCCATCTGGATTCCCTGATTCACGTGTTGACTTAGCTTTTGATGTTTTGCTCCAGTTATCTCCATAGCCTTGATCATTTTTCGGCAGAGTCTAACTTGTTAAGATATTCCATTGCTCCATAGCAAATTTGATTGTAATTTGAGCTGGATTTTGTGGGTAAGCTTGCTAATAGAAGCTTTGTGTTGTCAGGCTATTGAGGTTGTTGATCTTGATCAGAAGATTAAAATGGTTGAAGAGCTTGATGGTCATGTCATGCGCTGTGTTCGTGATCAGAATGGGAATCATGTTGTCCAGAAGTGTATTGAATGTGTCCCAGAAGATGCTATACATTTTATTGTCTCGACATTCTTTGATCAAGTAGTGACCCTTTCAACCCATCCTTATGGTTGCCGTGTAATACAGGTCGATGAACTCTCATATCACTTGAGACCGTTTTTCAAGGCCTTAAATATATAGTTCCTGAGATCTTGCCTGTTCATGTGGCAGAGAGTATTAGAGCACTGCGAGGACCCTAAGACGCAGAGCAAAGTTATGGATGAAATTTTAGGATCTGTCAGCATGCTGGCACAGGATCAGTACGGCAATTATGTGGTTCAGGTGTCTAAATATATCCTAATAACTCCTTTGTCTCCCTTTTGTATGCTGCTATTGTTGATTGGACGATATCGTATTCATTCTTGTTCACTGTTCCATGTTTAATGCCGTCCTTGTTAATTGCCTTGCATGATAATCCCTTAGCACATTTTCACTATCTTGAGTAAGGTGTTATGCAAGATTTGTTTTTTATGGGAAAGTTTCCGTGTACTTTGACTGTCTTCAGTCCCTGTCTTCATATGTGTCGGCTGACTGTTAATTGGGTCCAACAAAGAAGCTATCATGTGAGATTCATCTCACCCAAAAGTTTCAGTCTAAATCATCAATAAATATTAGATTGATTGGCATTTTGTTTTTCTGTATTCATGTCTCATAAAATTGCGGATATGGTACCGTGAATTTCTTTTGCGGCGGTTTCCTTCGGACCATTATGATTCTAGACCTTGAGCTGCGGGCTTTACTTGTTGGTTTATTTGTTAAAGCTTGTTTCCGAGAATTATAGCCCATTTACTTTTCTTTTCTTTGTTTTGTACAGCATGTCTTGGAGCATGGAAAACCTCATGAGCGTTCTGCTATTATTAAGGAATTAACAGGGAAAATAGTTGAGATGAGTCAGCAGAAATTTGCTTCTAATGTTGTGGAGAAGTGTTTGACATTTGGTGATCCTTCGGAACGCCAGTTGATGGTGGATGAGATGCTTGGCACTACTGATGAGAATGAACCTCTTCAGGTGTGGGCTCCCTGTTATAACTTACCAGAATTGAAAGAATACATAATGTACTTCCTGTGAGTTTAAATGAAGAATATTTTGTGTTTGGTCCATAAGATGGAGTAAAACTTCTTTTGGAAGTTTTGGCAAACACATTTTTCCTGTCAATCTTGGTTTTAGAAAATGCAGCAGTCATATATCCAGTGTTTTCTGTTCAATGTGGTAAGTCGGACAGCCTCCCCATATGGTGGGGCAGATTGGAGAGTGAATCTATCTGATCAGACGGAATAGAAACTAACTTCTGAAGCTGAATTTCATCATTAAATTAAAAACTCTTAAATGGTATTTAGGGCTGATCAATGCTCGAGATGATGTTAAGCGTTGTTGTGACCCACTGAATTACCTGCTTTGCTGCTCGTATAACCCGTGGACTAGGTCGGCATGTTTGTTCGGTGAGGCTTCTGGAGTCTTGTTTCTCTCTTAAGATGCCTGGATCATAATGAAGTTCAATTAAATGGTGATCATGCCTATTTCAGCAAATTCACTTTGGTTGACCATTGACTAAGGAATTGCACGACCGTTTTTAATGGTTTCATGTTCTTATTTATTTCTTAGATCCCATGGTGGGAAACCACTTGAAGTTGCATGGATGGCTCTTTGTAGGGATGAATACTTGTGTCAGACTTTATGTTCTAGATACTGAAATCTCATTTACTTACACATCTCTTAATACTGTATTTAGCCTGATGTTTTCGTATCATTCTTTCTTGCGTATCCTTCTTTTAATCTTGGGCATCTCTGTTCTTTCTGTCGTCTATCTTCATCCAGGCAATGATGAAAGATCAGTTTGCCAATTATGTCGTACAAAAAGTGCTGGAGACATGCGACGACCAACAACGTGAGTTAATTCTTTCGCGAGTCAAAGTTCATCTGAATGCCCTGAAGAAGTACACATACGGAAAGCATATCGTGGCGCGAATAGAAAAGCTTGTCGCTGCTGGGGGTGCGTTTTCTTTCTCTTTCAAATTCTTAGATGTTTCCTCTACTGTAGTGAGGAGTTCTTGATTTACTCCTTCATTCGGAGAACTTTGTTTTGTTCTCTCTCTCTCTCTCTCTGCACAAATGACTTATCTGGTCAATCATTTGCAGAGAGGAGAATGGCGCAATCTCCACACCCTGCCTAGGCTGCACAGCGCAAAAGCCAGTTTGTATAGCTAACCGACGCTAGTGTGTGAGCTTCCTCTTCCATTTCTTTGTTTCTAGAGCTCGTGGCGCTGCGTATCTTTTTAGGGAAAGAAGTGTGAGCCAACTGAAAAAAAATAAAGTTGATGCCTGTACTGCTAAAGAAAACTGTAAATTATGTAGCTTTTTCTTCAAGTTTTATACGCGCGAAATCTAGCAAACCGAGGTTGCAGATGTGTGGGGAGCACAGCTGATGAAGTTCCTGATAAGGTAAATGACTGTACAAGTTTTCCTGAAAGAGTGTAAAAAAATTTGGATCAATGTGGTGGTGGTGGGAGGTGGAATGTACAAAGAATTTCACTTATCTGTGAGAGCTGTTAATGTTTTTTAGATGAGGCCAGAATTTTCCCTAAATGAAATGTATTTGACTTTGTTTATTCATTTCCCCCCCTTTGTTTTGGCTCAGGGTTTTGTTTATATTGTGGATGGATTATGATTATTAATTATGTTTAGTCTGCTTCTCCCTTAAATAGTTAAAAACTTGCCCAATTCATCATTTGATTAAGTTCTTAATATTGCTTTACGAAATGGGTCTCCAAATTCTCGTGCTAGTTATTTTATCAGGGACAGAAACAATCAAGAAATAGAGGTTATTAAAAAAGAGTTATTATCACTAAAAAATTTAAACCGGTACATCTGTGTTATGTTTTCGGGTACCTTTGTTAGCTTCCGGCTAACATCCCCGTTGAATTGCTAGAGTGGGTTTGGCTCCTCAAATAGGAGCAATTAAATATCTTTTGTACCTTTTTAAGGCTCCATCAGGTGATTGGTTAAACCTTATGACGAGGGATTTTTCAGACTAGTTCCTTTGTTATAAGGAGTTCCATCGTCCGTAGTAGACCTCTGGAGCAACACGGGTGGCAAACGATTCGATTGATCGGCATCCGACGTGACTCAACGAGGAAATTCGTCAGAAATTGGTCTTTTAAAATAATGGATCTCAATTGGTAAAATGTAAAAAATGATAAAATTTAATTAGTAAAATTAAAAATTTTATAATTGAATCGATAAAAAAATATTTAGCCTTTTTTGGACAAATTTTCCCGTAATTATTAATCAATATATATATTTATATATAAATTTGGAGTCTGTATTTGATTAAAACAGTAATATGGTGAGTCGCATCTTGCGCTCTATCTTCCCGCTGAATCCACGGAAGGGGCCAAAGGGGGTTGCACAGTGAAAAAAAAACGTGATTAGTTAAAGCTCGTCGCTCTACGAACGCATCGTGGCAGCTTCTCATCCGCTTCCTCATCTCTGGCGACGCTGACGTGTCCCAATCGGAGAGCGAGCGCAGCAAAAGCCGCAGCGCACGGTATCAGTTCCGTCGCGGGGGAGCGGAAGATATTTTGGTCAGAGAATCCCCACCCACCCATCACAATCAAAAAATATCTTACTCTGGCTGGCTGGGTAAGTCGTCCACGTCAGCAGTTCGCCTCACCACCGCTCTCGTCTCACTTTTTTTTTTTTTTATCTTTTCCCGGAAAAGAAAATCGCAGAGGCATTTTCCTTTTCCATTTTCCACGGACCGAAAGCAGGTCCCAGGATCGTTTCCTTCCGTCACCGTCGCTTCTCTTCTCACGAAAGCCAAACCCTACCGGCGGAGAGATGGGCGAGGAAGCGAAGATGGGCCAACATGGCGACCCCGGCGGAAGCGGCGGCGGCGGCGGCGGAGATGGCGAATCGGACGGCGAGGACCGGGTCGTCGAGTGGGAGTTCGGCCTCCCGAGTTGCGACGATCTGGCGCCGCTGTGTCAGGCGTTGATCCCGCCCGAGCTGGCGTCCGCGTTCAGCATCGCGCTGGAGCCTTCGAGGACCGCCGTCGACGTCAATCGCGCGTCGCGGAGCACGCTGACTGGGTTGCGCGGCAGCGGCGCGGCTTCGCAGGGTTTTTCCACCAGCGATAATTTCAAGTCCTTCGTTGATAATCATCAGAGCATGGAGGTGGAGGAGGAGGAGGACGGTGCCGATGAATCGGATTCGAGGAAATCGAGGAGGATTGAGATGGCCGAAGAAGTGGATTCCACTCCGAGGATGGACAATTCGCCGGAAGATCCGTCGGGGAGTACGTTAAAGAGGCCACGGCTGGTTTGGACGCCTCAATTGCACAAGAGGTTTGTCGACGTGGTTGCCCGTTTAGGGATAAAGAATGCGGTGCCGAAGACTATTATGCAGTTGATGAATGTTGAGGGATTGACGAGGGAAAATGTGGCGAGTCATCTGCAGAAGTATAGGCTTTACTTGAAGAGGATGCATGGGATGTCATGTGAAGGACCTTCGTCGTCTGATCAATTGTTTGCCTCGACAACGGTACCGCATAGCTTGAACGATGTTGCAGGCAATAGTGGTCATGGGGATGGGCAAATGCCGATGCCGATACCAATGCCTTACGGAGCACAGCTGCCTGTGATGCCGATGCCGGTTTATGCAATGGGGCATGGTTATGTACACATGAAAATGCAAATTGGTAATTTATCTGGGTTTGAGTCAAATCAATACGCAATGCAACAGAGAGATTGGTCCAGTAATCGGTATGGTTCGGTTGCTTCCTTTCCACAGCCCACTGCGAATGAGAAACGACTCTAGTGGAGTTTATTGACGATGAAGAAAGGTTAACTAAAATACTCTTCATAATGATTCATTTGTCGACAGTTCCTTCAGACATTGTGGTGGATTCGGTAACCTAATTTGCCTTTTACGGGTGGGTGACTTTTGCTGCCCTTACGACAGTGTCAGATCCTCGTTTCTATATTTATTGTTGATCTGCAAGTATAAGCTGAGCAAAATATTGTGCCTCCCAGTCCTGGAGGCATCCTTAGCAGAAACTTTAACTGCTCAAAATAGTCCTAGCCAACGGGTGTTTTCATACTGCTGTCCTACCCTTTATCAACAGAAGGATCTAAGACAAGTTTTCGAAATTTTATATTCTGGTCAACAATTGGAGGGGGTGATCCACTTGAATGGATATATCACATATCCCTTCTGAAGATACTGGGCAGGGGGTACTGGGGCCATAGTTCAGAAACCTGCCAAAGGTCTAAAACCAGAAGTAGAAATATTGGCCATGGTCTGTGTAATGTTCCGTCATGGATAAAGGTTTATGGAGAAATAATCATTGAATGTTCTGAACCATGTCTTGCAGGTTGATTCATCCCTTTTGGAAATTCAGAAGTTGAATGTACGGTGATTTCGTTTTGGTTAATTACTCCTTTCCTTCCGTTACTATTCATGCCTTAACTTTTTAAAAAAGAAAGCTAACGTCATAGCTGACTTTTTATGGCTTTGCATATCTTGATAACTGCATATTTAGGAGAATTGGCTTGTGTCTTGTTAGTGTTGGTCTATGCTTCAGTTAGTGCGGTTCATTGAAGTTATAATTAGGTCAATATGTTCCTTCCTTCTCTTTTAGCTAAAAAAGTTTTAGGTCAATTTCAGCTGCCGCAGATGTTGCAAAAAAATGCGTTTAAAGCCATCCATGCATGCATCTTTCTACTTGACCCTTTTCTGTGTTAGAATAAGTTGAACTTGTGGTGATAGTCTTTAACTTATGGATTTCTAGTTTTACATAGCAATTGATTTTTCTCCTTGTTTTGATCTATTTTTGTTCTTTTCTTCAACTTTTGAGGGGCCAAAGATGCTTGTGTTAATTTAAAGCTTAAATCGAGTAAATTTTCCTAGAGGACCTGAATACTCCTTTAGTTTACTTGAAAGATTAATCTCGCTGAGTTCATGGCTGTTTAGTCTATTTGCTTTTGTAACTTTTGTAACATAAACTGCATTAGCTCATACATGAGATTGAAATCCCCTTTCATATTGCTTGCCTGTGATTGTGGCCATGTTGACGTTTGAAAGATTCTGCTCCAAGAGTCTTCCCAGTGATTAAGTGCCTGGAATTTCTTGTATGTTCACTCTGCAGCAATTCTCTGCTATTGAGTGCATTTGGGTCATGGTTGCAATTACGGGATTTCGTCTGGATGAATTGCATATCTAGAATTCTTATTGTTCTGGGACAATTTAAGCATGATTGAGTTGTACCGCCTCGGAAACTGACTTTAATTTAGATATGAGATGGAAATGGAAGCACACGTTTGCCATTATTTTGCCATCTCTGTCTCTGGTTAATGTTCGTTCGGTGTTTTCCTTTGAGATCCTCTTTTGAAGCTAGATTCTGAGTTTCATAAGCCTCTTAAGTTTATGACTTATGTCTTGTACCGTGCTCGCTAGTTCTTCTCGGATTTCTTGCTTCTTCGATGGGTTTAGCTCGAAGTCTCTGGTCACCTCGACAACTTCTCCAGCTGTACTGTGTCAGAGAGTTCTGCATAAGGATTGTCATTCCAGACTGGTAAACCACAGAAGTCTAGACCCAAGCTTTGAGATTTAAGCTCTTTTTGATCACTTAATTCCTTGGACTTGGATTCTTGAAAACACGGAAAGACCAAAGAGAAAGAAGCTAGGGCCACTTTTTGCAGGAGACTTTCTCCTCAATACATGCATTGCATCTGCGGCTGGATTTGGCAGTAGCCGGGATGGGACAAACCAGTAGAGATGGAGCAATAAGGTTTTGACAATTTCCTGGAGGCTCATACTCATAGTCACACGACAACCAGGAAAGAGAGCGCATGCGGAGAAACATGCTTGTGGAGATTATAAGGTGATGGGAAGATCTGACCAAAAGAATTTTTATTCTTCCTAGAGTTGCTTTAGGTTGAAATTTATTCCTTTTGACAAGCAAGTCGGCTGAGAACTATTGGCTGTGTTACCGCGTCCCTCTTTCATGTGTCCTGCTAGTTAATGTTTGGGAAGAAAAACTGTGTCAAACTTAGGCTCTGTTCGTTTGACGAAAAATGTTTTCCAGGAAAACATTTTCCATAATTTCCGGTGTTCGGGGGCGAAAAATAGGTAATCAAGGAAAATGTTTTCTAGTGAATGAAAAATATCCTTCTTAAAACTGAAGAAAATGCTTTCCTTTCTTTCTATAGAGGAAATCATTTTCTAATCTTTCTCGCTTGCCCTCGCATTGCCCTCACGCCCTGTTGCCCTCGCAACGCCCTCACCTCCTCGCGTCACTATCTCGCCCTGTTGCCCTAGCATCGCCCTCACCTCCTTGCGTCGCCCTCGCCTCCTCTCTTCGTTTTCCACTCTTCTCACGCACCCTCTCCTCTCTTCAGAGTGCTCTATGTTTTCCCATTTTTCTCGGGCCTTCTTCGTCTTGTCTCTCATCTCTAGATTTGCTCCTTCTTTGTTGCTGGCTCGCACTTCATCTCGTCCCTCATCTCCGGATCCGCTCCTTCTCATTGCTAGCTCGTGCTTCGTCTCGTCCCTCATCTCCAGGTGCTGGCTCATGCTTCGTCTGGTCCCTTATCTCCAGATCTGCTTCTTCTTCGTTGCTGGCTCGCGCTTTGTCTGGTCCCTCTTCTCGTTTCACAGAGACGCAATTCCAAGGTAATCACTGTCGTTTGCTCTCATTTTTGTAAATCAATCTCTTTGCTCAGTCGTCGATTCAAAGGAAAGTGCATAAACCAACTCTTCAAGTTTAGTCTAATAGCATTGGCGCTATTAGCAGTTGGGTCTTTGTCTATTTGTCCGTTCGGGTTGTTGGTTAATTGAGCGCGTCGTCGATTTATTGCTGATGGGTCTGAGGGGAAGGTTGTGTTCTGGGGTTGGGGACGGCTGAATGGTCGGATTGATTGTGGAGTTCGTTAGATCTTTAGGTGTTTGTTCTGTTGTTGAGTTGACATGATTGAGTTTGCTTTTTGGCGATCCTTTTGGTTCAGGGCAGATAAAAGAAGCCTCAGTTTCATTTTGCTTGTATAAACAATGCTGTTTTTGTTAGTGATTGTCAATGAACTTCATAATATTTACTGCATTGGGGATTTGCATACATAGAAAAGCAGCTTGTGCTGTCTTTGAAGCAGCTTGTATTGTTCCATGCGGTTTTGGCTCTTCTAGCATCGCCCTTCTAGTATTTCACCTGCATTTTATGTTTTATGATCAGTGTGCTCCAATAGAGATGGATGATAACAAAATCCAAGTGGCGGTAACGGGTGCGGGTGCAGCGGTTATGACAGTTATCACACTAATTATGGATTATTATAATCATTTTGAGAACCACGTACCGAGAGAGCCTCATGTGAACCGAGATTACGAGAGAGAGTTGTATATGAATCGTGTGTTATATAGTGGTGATACTCATTGTATAAATCAAATACGGATGACGCCAAATGCTTTTTTAGAGCTTTGTAAGGTACTCGGTGCAAGTAACTTGTTGCGTTCTACAGTAAATGTTGCTATTATGGAGTAAGTTTTGGTATTTTGCCATATCATTGGACATAATGTGAGGTTTAGAGTCATTCGGAGAAGATTTCATAGATCAATAGACACCGTGCATAGGTATTTTAAAATCATCCTGCAAGCGATTTTGAAATTATACAAGCATGTGGTGAAAGAACTAAGCAATTCCACTCCTCCTGAGATAAGTAACAGTCGAAGGTTTTATCCATATTTTAAGGTATGAAATTTGGAAGAAAAAGTCTTTATACATTGATTGAGAAGTTTCATTAGTATTTGGTTAGTAACTATATTGATTATTTTAGGATTGTATCGGAGCAATAGATGGAACTCATGTACGTGCATAAGTTCCTCTTGAAATTCAAGTAAGATTTCATGGTCGGAAGGATGGAACAACACAAAATGTTTTAGCTGCTGTTACATTTGACTTACGATTTTCTTATGTCTTAGCTAGTTGGGAGGGCACTGCACATGATTCATGTATTTTATCTGATGCACTTTCAAAGCCGGATGGATTGAACATTCGTAGAGGTAAGATAATGGAATTTATACACAATGTTTGAATTGAGGTTAGTATCTTAGTAATAAACTTATTTATAATTTGAAGGAAAATATTATCTTGTTGATGCTGGTTATGGAATCCAAAATGGCATCATCTCTCCCTATCGCGGTGTTAGATACCATTTGAAGGAGTTTAGTGATTGCCCACCTGAAAATGAGAAGGAACTTTTCAATCTCCACCATTCATCTTTAAGAACTACTCTTGAAAGAGTCTTTAGAGTTTTAAAGAAGCGTTTTCGAGTATTGGATTCTGAACCTTTTTGGTCATTTGAAATACAAGTCAATGTTGTCTTTAGCTTGTTGTATATCACAATTTTATCATGGGATTTGATCCTACTGACTCTATCATGGAAGAGATTAATAGACAAATGGAATCTCAAAGAGAAAATCCAAGAATCCTACTTTCGCAAGGAGAGGAAAGGGAGGAAAATAGAATATGTGCATAAAAAAGGGATAGGATTGCGCATGCAATGTAGATTAGTTATCAGAATATTCGAAGAAGTCAATAGTTTTCCTTTTGTATTTTTTTTAGTGTTTCATTTAGAACATGTGGTTTCAATTTCCTTAATGTTAATCATCTTTAAATAGTTACTACACGTCTCTCTTCATCGTATTTTTTCTTATTTTGCTATTTAACGTTGTTACGTAGTTATCATGATGGGTAAAAGTAAGGCAAATGATGAGAAAATCAAGTAATTTAGATGGTCTAAGCCTATGGAACGTGTTCTACTTGAAATTCTTGCCAATGAAGCTAATAAAGGAAACAAGCCTTCGAGCGCATTCACACCCTCTTCAATTGCTCGAGTTGTCAATACAATAAGTAAGAGGTTTGGCGTTCATTGTGAGCCCGAACATGTTGAGAACCATTTGAAGACAATCAAAAGCAATTGGAAGACGATTCAAATGATACGTGGCAAGAGTGGATTCAATTGGAATGACAATTTGAAGATGATCATAGCTAGAAAAAAGGAATTTGATGAATATGTTTCGGTAATTTTTCTCATCACTTTTCATCTGTTTGAATAATTGTGGCATAAGAAGCTCGGTGGTGGGCCAAACTGAATCTCTGTTCTATTTGCCTATTCAAAATAGCTCAAATTCTCTTTAATTCACGTGTTTGGACACTAGTGCTTGTAAGATTTAGGATTCAGGGCAGAGATAATTTTTGCTTATGGATTGTGTTGATTTCCCGATTCAGCTGGAAGTGCTTTATGTCCTTTATAGTGGCAACGTCTTGGTTTCTCTATTGATATATCTGAACTGTCAAGCAGTGTTAGCTTATGAAGGCTTTTGTGCTTTTTATTCCTTGGTGAAGTCCTCTAGTTTGAACTAGTTTTGTAAGCATATTAGCTTTGCCACTGTAATGATTAATACTTTCTGGCGACCTGTGTTGCCTACTTTTTATGGAATAGAGATGGAAAGCTGTTGGGGTTTCTTTTCTTTACTGGAAATTCTGAAATTATCAGCTGAACTTTTTAACTCCAGTACTGAGGAGAGTTTAGATTAAGTTGCAGTGTTGGTATTTACAGCAGCTTCATGCAATGCCACTTATAATAACTGAATGAGTAATGTGCATATTACGACGATCTAAATTGTTTCATTTGACTTTTTATAGATTATTTACATTGAATTGGCATATCCATCCTTCTCATGAGAAGTATCTAAATAAATGATTGATATGTATGATGAGATGTCTTTGGTGGTTGGGAGAGATATGGCCACCGGAAGCTTTGCTAAGCAACTTAGAGATGTTGATGCGACGGAAGTTGAATCCTCACCCATTGATTTAGGCGATGACTTTGATGAGTTGATGAAGAGATCATAAACATCTTCATCTACAGTGCCTTTGGCAAAGAGGTCCCACAAAAAACGAAGATGTTTCGACAATGATGATAAATATGCTCCATTTTCAAAACAACTTGAAGAGATGGCATCGGCGATTAAATCATTGGGTCAAAGCGGCATTGATTACTCTCAACTGTACAATGAGATGATGAAGGTGGATGGATATGATGAAGTTTCCCTTGGATCGGTTTTTGACTACCTAGTTGAACATGAAAAAAATTGGAAAAGCATTCATGGTGAAGAGTGTGAATTTTAAGAAAGTGTGGATTGATAAATTTATAACCAAAGGAGAACAGTGACATATTTTATAGAGCTTTGTTGTCCAAGGACTCATGTGTTCTTTTTTTTATATTGTTAGTGTTAGTACTCCGAGAGATGAAGTATGATGTAAGATTGGTCTGTATTGGCCTTTCTATGACTAGTGATTTCAGTGTGGACTTTGCATTTCAACTTAAAAAATGCTTAACCTTTGTTCTGAAGTGATTCTATGTTGTTTATTGACTCTAAAGTTGTGAACTTTCTCCTTTCCTCATTTCTAGCTAATGAAATTTTGGCTTATGAAGAATGTCCAATACCTCATTTTGGTAAAATTGATAGTGTTATGATATCTTTCCTATTTATGCATAATTGTTGAAATCGTATACTATCAAGATCATTTGTTCAAGATTGCAGCTTTGCAAGAGTTGTTCAAAATCCAGTGAGGAAGGGATGGATGTTTGGCGATGGTGAGGGAACAGAGATGCCAAGCAAGTTTGCCTTGTGGCCTTACAGGCAAGTGCATGCCCAGGTGGTGAAGTCTGGAAAATATTTTCCTTGTTGAACAGCGGAATATATTTTTCTGGTCTTTTTCACATTTTAGCCGAACACCGAAAAATATTGTCATTTTCCTGAAAAATTACTTCCGGAAAAATATTTTTTAAAAATGTCACATTTTCTGTGAAACGAACGGAGCCTTATAATTTTTCTTTGGCCATAAAGAAGCTTCATGCCTGTTTGAATCTTTAGATCGGATCTTTCATTTGGCTGACTGGAACCAGAGAAAATCTCTAGTGAGAACGTCATAGTTTTATCACATCAGCACTCTCGGTGAATGGTACATTAGGTTGCGAATAATAACAATTCTGTTTCTCTATTTTTCTATTTTTCTGTTCCTGAGAACAAATTTGGAACAGAAATTTGTTTGATAATGCAATTTCATTTTTCTATTTTTGGAACAAATTTTCATTTCAGAAATAGATTTGGAACAGAAATAAAAAGTAAAAATTTTGTACTTTTCTATTTCTGAAAAAAAATGAGAAATAAAAATTCTTCTAATCGCTCGCCCTCGCTACTAGCCGATCGTCCACTCGCCGTCCGCCGCCTTGCATCGTCTACCGGCCGCCGCCTCCCGCCGTCGCCCTCCTCTCGCCGCCACCAGCCTCCCGCCATGCGCCGGCCGTCGTCCCCTGCCACCGACCGCCGTGGGCTGCCGCTTACCTCCCGCCATCGGCCGTCTCCCGTCACCACCCACTTGCTGTTCGCCACCTTCGACCATCCGCCGGCCGTCGTCCTCCACTGCCGACTGTTGTGGGCCGCCTCCTGCCGCCGGCCACCTCTTGTTTGTTGCCTCCCACCATTCGCCGGTCGTCGTCCTCTACCATTGACCGCAGTGGGCTGCTGCTCGCCTCCCGCCGTCATCGCCTGTCGTTCGCCGCCTCCAGCCTTCGTCCCCCGCCGCCAACCGCCATGGGCTGCCGCCCGCCCGCCTCCCACTGTCAGCCGCCACCTCCCGTCGCCCTATTCTAGCCACCACCCGCCTCCCACCGCCGGCTGTCGCCTGCCTCCTGCCGTTGCTCGACATCGGCCACCTCTTGTTGCTGTCCTTCGCATTAGCTGCGCCGCCGTCCGCCGCCACCTCTCATCGTCCGCCGCCCACCCGCCGGTCGTCCAAGAGAGAAATTTTATGCCGTTATCAAACAAATTTTTATTTTGGGAATAGCATTTTTGTGTCGTTGTTGAACACGTATTTTTGCTCAGAAACTCGTCCATAAAATATAAATAAAAAAATTTATTTCTAGCCAGAAATTAATTTCTGAAACAGAATAGTTGTCATTCGCGCCGTTAGTCTCTCCGTTCAGAATTTAATAATCTTGAAGACACAGGAACACGTTGACACGAGTTTCCAGAATATTT